ATGCGTTTGAAGGTAAATCTCATATAGCGCATATGGCATTTGTAAAATATTCACTGATACATTGGTATATAATATAGATATGATTTGTAAAGACTATCAGGAGATAGGACATACCAACAAAAGTCACTATAAATGCAAATTTTATAAAGAAGCTTCTGTAGACGATGGTAACTCACCATTATAAACCAATATTCAAAACTTATTATATCTCTTATTAAAGTTGGAACATCCACTGGAAAAAAAAAAAAAAGAAAACAAAGTTCAGGCGTGAAGCAAGAAAAACAAAAAGCAAAAAGACAAAAAACAGCAGCATGTTCTTCATCGATTGTTTGTAGTAGTTGTAAACAAACTGGCCATAAGTCAGCACGCTCTCCAGATTGCCCTAATCATATGTTGTCAAAAAACGAGGTTTTTAGTCGAAATTTGGGACAACAATTTAAAACATTCACAAAAAAGTTACCGTTTGATCAATGTGTTCACAGTTCTTACCAGAGTGCCTTGAAGTCTAGGATCATTTCTGCATGTGAAGACACGCGGCAAGTGGTATTCAGAGCTCAGCTTTTTATCAACCAGTACATATTGAACTTAAAAGTCCATTCGAATCATATCTTTAAACAAAATTTTTGGTATTCAATATGTCAATTAGTTATGGATAAGCGAGTGACGAACAGTGCTGTACTTCCAGAAGGCTTACTTGAAAACTGGAATTTGTTTAGACAAAGTCATGGAAGCATCATATATACCAAAAAGCTTGCGAGTGGAACTAGCCAATGTCTTTCAGAAGCATGTGTACAACTAGCGACCACATACACAAACTGCATAGTCGAAAACTTTGAAGCAAGATTGCTTAAATACCTTTCGTATCTTATTCAAAACACTTTTGTGGTAAGTTCCATTTTTTTGTGAAATGTTCTACTGGAATATGTAAATAATTCGTGATATAGTCAATGGCGTACCAAGATGTAAAGAAAATAGCTTATGATTATTGTTATCAATCTGTATGCAAAGGAGAACCTAAATGGCCGCAAGGCGCTATTTTCACTCAAG